GCGGCGGATGCCGGTGCCGTCCGCAGCCCACCGGTTGGCGGTTTCCGGTAACGCGCTTTGGCGCAAATCAGCAGACACGCCTGATTTCGAAATTGCAAAACATTTTCACACTCTTGTGGTTCCAACGCCGCTGCCGCCCCCGTGCCTCGTTTCGCGGCCGTCCCGTCCGTCGCTCTCGCACGGTGCCACCTTCCGCTCCCTTTGCGCTTCCCAATGTTTTTCCCTCTTTTTCCCTCTTTTTCCCTCTTTTTTCCTCTTATTTTTTTTCGGTTTCCGCGTGCACACACCGACACCGCCGTCGCCGCCGCCGCCACCACCACCGCCGCCGCCGCCGTCGCTTAAAATCGCGCGTTCCCCGTCGCAAAATGCCTCGCGCGCCCGCAAAAACACGCGTCATCGCCGACGAAAAAAAGCGTCGCGGACGCCGTTGGGTGCGTGAAAAAGTGCTCGACTGCTTGCAACGAAAACGTGACTGTCGGTGTCCACTTTTGACGGTACTCCCGATGAAATTGAGTCATTCGGGGAACCTTGCGATTTCCCGTCGATTAGCGGTCCGATCCCAAAGAGATTTTCCGAAATTTTGGCCCTATGTTAAATCTTGAATTCTACAACATAACAGGAACTAAGTTCGTAAAGTAAGTCCCAAAGAGATTTTCCGAAATTTTGGCCCTATGTTAAATCTTGAATTCTACAACATAACAGGAACTAAGTTCGTAAAGTAAGTCCCAAAGAGATTTTCCGAAATTTTGGCCCTATGTTAAATCTTGAATTCTACAACATAACAGGAACTAAGTTCGTAAAGTAAGTCCCAAAGAGATTTTCCGAAATTTTGGCCCTATGTTAAATCTTGAATTCTACAACATAACAGGAACTAAGTTCGTAAAGTAAGTCCCAAAGAGATTTTCCGAAATTTTGGCCCTATGTTAAATCTTGAATTCTACAACATAACAGGAACTAAGTTCGTAAAGTAAGTCCCAAAGAGATTTTCCGAAATTTTGGCCCTATGTTAAATCTTGAATTCTACAACATAACAGGAACTAAGTTCGTAAAGTAAGTCCCAAAGAGATTTTCCGAAATTTTGGCCCTATGTTAAATCTTGAATTCTACAACATAACAGGAACTAAGTTCGTAAAGTAAGTCCCAAAGAGATTTTCCGAAATTTTGGCCCTATGTTAAATCTTGAATTCTACAACATAACAGGAACTAAGTTCGTAAAGTAAGTTTAATTCTAATGATACAATTTACTGCTACTTTGAATGGCACCCAATTTGCCGGATGTATTTTGGTAACAACGTGTCTATGCATTGACTGCAGTTGATTTAAAGAGAATTTTAACCCTTGCGATATGTGAAGCCGCTATAGTTGCGCGGCGAGAGTGTCATGTTCTTCATTAGTCTATCCTTTGACGTACATGAAATGTCGTACTTCAAAGACTATAAAAGTCAGCCAAAAAATCACGCGGACTTCTCTCTGTCCAGCTACTCTGTCACAATCATGTTCTAGTTTTTATCCTGCCTCCTCCTAAAATTTCGCAAAATCGACGTGTCCGCGTGTATGCCTTTCGTGGCTCGCGTTTTAAAGATATTAAAGTGTTTGACTGTCGCGTTAGAGCTCGCAGTTACTTGCTCGTTGATGCGTCGGGATTGCGCGTTTAATTGTGAAGCGTTTAACCGGTATCGCGGCCCGCGACGACAAGAGAGAGGGAGAGAAAGCAAGCAATGCCGAAGTCAGAGTGTGCAGTCATTAAATTATTCCGGAAGGTGAGCCCGATGGGTGTCCCCGATCTGAAACGGGTCGCGCTCGGCGGAAAAATCGGCCGGAACATCTGACGCGATCTATACGGAGTTCCCTTTTCGCACGTGTTAAACGCGCTGCATCGACCTTGTTTCGTCTTGGCGACACTCGTCTCTCTCTCTCTCTCTCTCTCTCTCTCTCTCTCTCTCTCTCTCCCCCTCTCTCTGTGCCTCGAGCGACCGTGCTTGAGCTAACAAGCTTGCTCGGAAATAGTCCGAGGGAAAGGATAAAGTGTGCAGGGAAACAGGAAAGCTGGGCCATTGTCGCGAGAGATTAAATGGCTCGCTGCTGCGAGATTATATATTTTTTGGTGGAAATTTACATCGCGTTGCATACTCGATAACTCACCGGTGCGATCACGCTATCATTACTCGCAATATGTCAGATCTCTCAACGGACGTTTCACTAGTTGACTCAAACGGAGCAGGAAATCACGAAGACGTCAAAATGATGAGAAAATTACCAGAAAGTTCATCTTTGCCATCATTTTCTTGTCATTTCGATGTCATCGTGATATTTGTTCTACTCGGCGATGGAACTTTGATGATCTCATCGACGAGATTTCCGATAATCTCTGCAAATGGATAAATACAACGCGGTGTCTGAGAATGTCTGAACGGATCTCGCGGGCGCTCGTCACCGGCACGTGCAAGAATCTCGAGGTACCCCCCGTGGTACCAAGTCCTGGACTCTTTTTCGCTCCCTCTCGGCCGGACCGAGGATACGGCGCGAACCAGTGACTCCGAAAAACGATCCTTCAGTGCGCGGCGAACGTGTCGGGCGAACGAGCGTGCGTGTCGGCAAACAAAATCGGTCGGTGGAACGCCATCGGCGCTCGTCGGCAACCCCCGGGTCGCGTTCCTCTCCGTAGCCGGTGTACACACCACGCCGCCCCTGCGGGCCCGAGCAAAATGCAAAAACGTCAGCGGCAAGATCCTCGAATGATTTTTCGACAGCGCGTATTGCCCGCGAGCTGCCCGCCGTATGAAACTTCCGCTTGGCTGTCCCGCGCGCGATTCGCCAGATCGCCCGTCGATTTCCCAATAAATAACGTCGCATTTTCGGCATACGCCGCGGCCAGTCAGAGATTTTTGCTCTCGTTGCTCGCGCCCACGCTAGCAACGATGCGGAAAAAGCGCGTCGGACACGTTAGATCTGTCCAATTGTGCCTCCTGTGCGCTACGGTATCTCTCTCTTTCCTCCTCTCCCTCTTCTCTCTCTCTCTCTCTCTCTCTCTCTCTCTCTCTCCCTCTCGCCGTGAATCGCAGTAGTTAGCTATGCACAATCGCGCGATGTTCCGATGGAAAAGCATCGGCGGGCTAGTTGCCGACGAGGGAGGCATCTCCCGTTTCCCCCGGCAACGTTCCACTGTTGATAGAATTATAATCGGGCGATTGTAATTAGCGAAATGACGCGTCCGTTGCCAATCGCCATAGTCGGTACGTGCAGTACGTAACACCACGTGCGATACCATAACGCTTTAGGCCGATTGACTCAATTATAGACCGATTCGTGCTGCGCTGCTTACCACTGCTACGATCCCCATATTCTCTTCTTCGTGTCCTTTTTTGGCCGAAAATCTGGTATTAAAAATAAGAGACATGCAGCGCAAGATGAAAACGCTCACCTATTGTCTCGCTGAGCGCGATTTCTTTTCGTAATCGTTGTGACCGTTATTGCCGCGGCCGCGCTCATTGTACGTTTTGCCGCGGCTAATTATCGCGGCGGTTGCCCTTTGGCTCGATTAATAACAACGAGTGCGCCCGATATTCAGCCACGTGCTGCGCGTTTCCAAATTTGTTCCGCGGGAGCTTACGGGTTCCGCGCGCCAACCGGTCCGCCGAGCGAAGGAGAAAAAGAAAGGAGAAGAGAGGAGAGAGAGAGAGAGAGGAGAAGATCGCGGGCTGCGCGATGAAGGAAGGGCAGGGAGGGAGAGTCCAGGAGGGAGACAGAAGAGGCGATTCGTACCATTTGGCTCGGTTCGACGTCGGTTAACACAGCGGGGTTACCGCGGACGCCTCGACGGACACATTGAGGGCGCCCGCTCGACTTGATAATCGCTTGCCATTCATACACTTTTCATTGGATTGCGATTGAGCATTAAGAAACCGGGTGAGAGCGGCAGAAAGAGAGGGAGAAAGGAGAGCGCGAGAGAGGAGACCCGGGGGCTACGCGTTTGCGTCGCGCCCGGCCGACGTATTAGCATTAGGAGGCATCATCTCGAGTGTAAACACTGCATGGGCACCGCGGATTTAGTCACAGTCGAGAACCGCGGGACGTCCCCGATATTATCGTCCCCGTACGTCCCTTCTTACCTTTGGTGACGTCCCTCCGCTGCGCGCCTGTCGATACCCACGTCGCTAACGTGTGTTCGCGATCTATTAACCTCCTCGAGAACAATCCTCCATCTTCTTTTTTTATTTTTTTCGGTTCCTCAACTTGATTCAAGCTCGACAAGGATGAAATCATATAAACGAAAAATTAATTAATTATATCTTACATTAATGAATAACAGACATCATCTCAAACGGTAAATTCATCTAAGGTTCATCAGAAACACGTCTTGATAAATTAAAATAAAACCACCCTCGGAGTGACATCTTGTGCCCACAAGGGGCAAAACTTATTAGCAGAACTTGTTAAATTGATAATAATAGATCGTTTCGAGCGGTAAATCATTCAATTCATCTAAGATTTATCAGAAGCGCGTCTCGATAAAGTAAAATAAAAGTACCCTCTCGGTGTGTGTAACACCTCGCGTTGCGCGGATTAAAAAAACTTGCGTGACGGATTAATTGAGTCACCTCGCCGAACCTCATCGGGCGACGATCGAGCACATCCCCCTTTCCGCTGTAACACTCGATCTCTACGATAAGATCGAACCGAAGACACATCGAAGAGAGGAAACTGTCCGAAAGGAGATCTGCCGGCGGAACGCTGACACAAGGAGTTTCGCGTCGCAGGGGCGAGGAAAAGAAAGCGGTTTGTCGTTGGCCTTAACCGCGGATTCACGGTTAGAGCCCGGAGACGGCGGACGCCGTCCATGATCCCCTTTATCCAATCCGTGAGGAACCGCGGGGCGTTAAATCCCACGGGAAAGCGCTCCGTAACTGAGCTCGCGTTCGCGCGCTAGCTAAGTCGGTCAGCCCGGTCCAGCCGAGCGAGAGGATCACAATACGCCACCACCGACCGCGGGTCGTCTCGCTTGTCGCGTTCTCCCGCCGCACCCGTGAAAATTAGTTGCGCGAGAAATCCACGCTAATGTCGGCTAATCGGCCGTAATCAGCCGTGAGAACCGACGACTGTCGAGCCGACGAGCCAGCGAGGCGCGTCGGCGGAGGGATCAGGAAGGAGGCGGGAGACCCTTTTCTTGAGGATCAATGTCGCGACTCGATCGCCCGACGATTGACGCGCGATCGAGCGGACTCGCGTCGACGACAGCGTGATCGTATATCCAAGGGGAATCGTGAGTTCGCGACAGATCCGAAATGTAAGTAGGTAGTCTTATTTCTCCCGAGGCGAGCTCCGAAATGGCTCTTCGGAACATGCGAAACGTGTGTGGTCGTTGAGTCGCCATTAGCTGAGACACATAAATTGCACGTGGTTGTTTAACCTATGTTTTTTCGTCTGTGGGGTTAGGATAAGCGTTTGACATATGCGTGACTTTGAAGTGCAAAGGAAACGTGGCTTTACAGTGTAACTTGAGATATGTTTGTGAGAATTTGCGACTGATTAGTGCCAAAAACGCGAGGAATGTAAACGTGACACAGATCACTGTTGCATTGCGGATACTCGAGTTCCGGATCGCCGTGACGCGTTTCTTTTCGTTTAGGGATGAGCAAGAGACCGAAGAGGAGCGATCGGGGCAACCTGCCGCCGACGAGGAGCTGTACGACCCTTACTTACATCGTGTCACTCACAAACCTGTCTCGTACGTTCGTAATATCCGTCAATCGACTTATCAGCCAGAGTTTTTCTCTTCACTCTGCCGAGATTTTCATCCGTGCCAATATCAAGGCGATTGTCCTACGAGATCACGACGTTACAACACTATTTCCCCTTTCCTTCCTCTTTTTTCTCTGTCAATTCAGAGACTTCGGATCTCTGGCAAATTTGGTGAAAAGCGCGGCCGGAACGGGCTTGTTTGCCATGCCAAACGCGTTCGCGTGCGTCGGGCTCTTACTCGGGATCGTCGGCACGGCGCTCATGGGACTACTGATAACCGGCTCCCTCCAGTTGCTCGTTAGAATTCACCATTTGATGTGCGCTCGTCTGAGGAGGCCTGTCCTGTTGTACGACGAGGTGGTCGTCGCCACTTTGACCGCGCGAAAACCGTGGCTCTCCCCGCGCGCTTCAACGTCCGTAATTTCAGTAATCGCGTTATTTCACGCCGAATATCGCCGTCACTCAATGTCTTTCCGGTGCAGCATATTGCGCATAATATATTAGCTTGTAATACTGACCCGCGAAAGATAAATGTTTTTTTGTCATATTATTTATGACATTTTCAAGTAACAAAGGAACGTAATAATCTCCGGAACAATTTCCAAATCTGAACAGTCATAAACGTCGCTCGTTTGCAGACTCATTGTTGATGTCGTGATGCTGACGTGTTACATCGGAATCGGTTCCGTGTACGTCGTTTTCATTTCCGGCACGATACAAGAATGCGTGGACAGTGAGAGAACGGTCGGTCAGAGTTACTATGCTCTGGTGATATTTCCCTTTCTTTTCCTGATGAATATGGCAAAGAACTTGTCGGACATCACGCCGATTTCCGTCGCCGGCAACATCTTGCTTCTTGCCGCTGGAATTATCGGGATCGTTTACGCGTTAAAAGACGGAATTGGCGATACGTGGACCACGATTGAACCTAACGTGAACCTATACCCCAAATTTATTGGCATGGTGTTCTTCAGCATGTGTTCGCCAGGAGTGGTGAGCCTTCTTCTTCTTCTCTCATTTCTAAAAATTTAAGAATTCTTAATCGTATGGCAATTACAAACTTATTTTTGTCTCTTGATGGAAAAGAAATTAATTTTTCGCGCAATATACAAGTGAGTCAGTAATTATTGCTATCTAGAATATCTTTGAAGCAAAACGCAAAGCTGACTTTCGACGTTACTCTAGCTAGAAAGACAAAACGTTAAGACGCTTCTTTTTTCCAAGTAACTCGAAAGATTTGAAGACCGACTTTGTTCTTCGCTTTGTAGGTATTCCAAGTAGTAACAGTTACTGGTTCACCCTGTATACAAGTAAGATTAGCTTCGCGTGATTCTCGCAGATCACACGCGAATCATGACAATTCTTAGCGGGTCGTCCGCGCTCTTTAGATACTGGCGATAGAACACAGCATGGAAAAGCCGTGGAATTACACCAAACCCTGCGGAGTCTTGAATTGGGGCATGGTGTTCTTGGTCTTGACGCACATCTTCGTCGGTGTCATCGGTTACTTGAAGTGGGGCTCCGAGTCTCTCGGCAATTTTATTCGCAATCATCCGGAGAATGACGGGTAACACCACGTAGTACTGATCGATAAATTAATAGTCGTGATATGTCTAAGTTCACAAGGAACTTGGAAGGTTGCACGAAAGAGGAATTGCCCAATGAGGTAATCATTGGGTAAAAAATCGGACCTCAATCGAAGAGCGCGAATTTAAATTTGCGTACGCACAACTCGTGTTTCTCTGCGAACTTTTAGACCGACTACAGCGGCACTGGCGATGCAAGCGCTGGCGATATACTTTACGTACGGGCTGCAATGTTACGTGCCCATTACGATCTTGAAGAACAATTACGTCATGCCGGCGATCGAAAGGGGCGTGTTGAACTATTCGCCGTTTCTCTGGGACCTGATCATTCGTTTCCTCGTCACCTCTGTCATGTGTAAACGCCAACATTTCTTTAAAACTCTTTCTTTTCGCGTTCTCTCTTTTTTCCTCCCCCCCCCCCTTCTCTCTCTCTCCCTCTCTCTCG